GGGCCCAGGCCGGCGGCGGAGGCACCAAAGCCGAAAGGCAGGAAGGAAGGAAGGAAGGAAACAGGGACCAGACAGCAAAGCACTGAAACCAGCAGAAAGATGGGACTAAAACGTCACGGCAGAGAGTAAGCAGCACAGGCATGTCCCCTCCTCACCCCGGGCTCCCGAACCCTGGGAGAAGCCCATTGTAACCGCTAGAGTTGCTAACTGGGGTCTGCTGCTGGGGGATGTAGGGCACAGCCACCTGTCCACAGCAAAGGACCAGCAACGCACAGGTATGTCCCCAGCACAGACACGTAACCGGCGAGCAAAGCACCTCCGGCTCTCTGCTTCACGCTCTGCCCAAAGAGGGAGGAGAGGGCTACCAGGAGGCACAGGCTGGAGCTGCAGCGGAGAGCCCCCGCGGCTGCCCGGCACCGGCAACCAGCCCTCCTGCCCTGACCGCTCGTCCAGAACAGCCCGACCTTGGCCATGTCACCGCGTTTCTGCATGACCCTCATCCATCTACAAACCCAGAGGGATTTGCCCTTCCACGTCCTGCTTGTTGCTTACACTGCGCTCCGACAGTGCTGGGGAGAAACAGGGGCCAAGGGCACGGCTCCTTTATTCTCCTGCCCGGTGGCACAGACCTGGCTGCACGGAGCCATGGTGTGCTCGCATCCCCCAGCCTGGCCCCACTCACCCATCCGCCAGACCACGCTGGAGGAGCCCAACGTTTTGCAAAGCCGTGATTACTGATCGTCCTCTGACAGCGAAATGGGGAGCCAGCGTGGGATTTCTGGGGGAGGGAGGGAGCAGAGCGAATGTGCACAGTCACGGCAGGAAAAACCACCAGCGAATGAGGGAAGCAGCTTCGAGCCTGGAGAGATGAGGCAGCACTCTCCAGGGTACGGCAGGAGAGAGGCAGAAACAGCTGGCGAATCCGAGACCGGGAGCGATGGGTAAACGCACACCGAGACATCCCAGAAACGCCTCTTCTCTTCTGCAGCCCCAGCAATACAGCCACAGCACTGCCTGTGCTTAGCTAGGGAGCACGCTCATTACTAGAGTTAAACATTAATTGCAGATGATGCTATGTCCTTAAAAAGCATTAAAAAGATCACCTCATTTTTCCCCAATGAGCAAAAATTCCTGCCTCCAGCCTTACGAGGTTAACAACACAATTGCAGGCCCCCTGAAAAGACCAGCAGACCCCAGCCCAGGGGGGCATGCAGCCCTGCTGCCCCCCATCCCTGGCTCTGGCATCAGGGAGGACCAGGGGATTGCTGGTTCCCATCCAGACCCCCAGGCTGTAGTCGAAGGGCTGTGCTCAGCACTCCTTCCCCCACAGCGCATATAAACCCCCACCTCGGTGTTCCTGCTGCAGCAGGCGCTCTTCAACTTCAAGGATATTCCTCCCCACCTCAGGGAGTATTTTCCAAGTCCCTCACATCAAGAAGAAAAATTATAATCATCCTAAATCCAACTTGCAAAACCGATAATTAAAAGCCCAAAGCCCTAAGGGGATGAGGTGAGGACATGGAGGAAGAAGAGGACACGGATTATCCCACACCTGCTTTCAGGTACCCCTGTCTCCAGCAGGAAGCACTGGGCAGGCTGGCGGAGCATCACCTCCCCCGAGGAGCTCGTGCTCAAGTCACTGTGCTCCCTGCTCTCTGCAACAAAAGCATTTACTTTGCGGCGAGAAATGTCCTCTGCACCAGCCACATGCTTGAGCAGAAACCTTCAGAAGCGGGGAGTCTGAAGGGCAGGGAGAGAACAGGGTCGTCCGCTCTCAGGTGATGGGCTGTGATGTGCGCGGGTGCCAGGGGTAAAGATGAAAGCAGGGTCCCACCTCATCAGCCCTCCCGGTCCCGGTGTGGATCACTCCTTTGGGCTCCCACACACCACAGACCTGCCAGCCCCCTCCTCTCCTCTGCTAACACCAGCAGGACTCGCTCAGGGCTGACCCGAACGCTGGGAGCAAAAGCAAAACATACAGAAAGGCACAAAAAACACAGTTTCTGAATCTGAAAAAAAAAAATTTAAAAAGGGCAAACTGGGGCACAGGTGCACAGTTATCCTGGTGCTTCTGTCACAAACGTGTGCAGCACAGCAGCACAGAGGGACTGTGACTTCAGCTTCACGGTGCAAAGCTTAAAATGGCTTTGCACCTCCCGGCAAGCCCGGGAAGGGACCGCGCAGCAAACCTGGGTCTCTGGTGCAGAGCACCACAGGAGATCACCTGGAGGAAACTTGCAATGGCAAACTTTCTTCTTCCTTGAAATCTTGCACAAGAGGGAATTCTGGAGCTAGTTCTGGCATCCCAGGCTCGCGCTGAGTTACAGGAGGGATGGATGCCATCATGATGCTCTGTCGTCCCCATGCTCCAGGACTCCATCTGCCCCAAGAGAGCAGAGACTACAACCCAGCACCTCCTCTGGTGAGAGGAACCAAGCCATTATTTAGGTCCCACCACCCACTTCTGCTGCAGAATCCAGTAGCAACAATGCTTTCCCTCGCGAGGCCATCATTCAGAGCAGACGGCTCAGACCAATACACACTTTAATCGAAAGCAAGCAGCAAGGCCCATGTTCCTCAGAATTAGAAATTAAACACAGCTTGCAGGCAGATCTTGTCTCGGCTGGCTTGCAGGGAGGCGATGCTTTGGGACCCTCTACCAGCAGTTATCTGTCTCCTAACCAGACAAGACAACCTGTCCAGCACACCTCCCTACCCGGCACCACGGCCAGCATAATTTGGTTTATAAACCCACAGCATGGTCCAGAAGTAGAAATCCTTCACAGGACAGTTTGATCTGTCCATCTTTGAAAAGGCAATAGTGCAGGAGTCTCAGCAGTTAACGTTCTCATCCAAACCCACACATCTGTATGCTGCACAGCTCCGAATAACCCCCTGGAACACTTGCAAGCAACAACTATCCGAAACACACCCTCCCTGCCTGGCAAGGCTGCCGTGCCTCAGCGGGGCACGCAGACACTTTGCAAAAGCCCGTTACTCCAAGAGGCTGCGATCACAAACACATCCTGGTTCATAACCACAGCGAGCGACAAACACGCTGCCACAGAATTAAAAGTCTGGGAGTCTCCGAGCACAAAACCCCAAAGGGCAGGAGCTCTGGGTAGGAAGCTGACAGCAGGAAACAATTCTGCATTTTCCTTCGCTGCTCCTGTAAATACATGTGAGGCAGGCTGGGGGCTGGCAGAGGCGCTGCCTGCTGACCCAGTGGTCCCGGATCCGTGTCAGACCCAGGGCAGGTTCCCACGGGCTGTCTCCATTCCCGTGCACCCCACTTCACACCTCCTCTCCCAGAACAGCTCAACAGCCAGCAGCTCCGGCTGCTCCATGAAGCCTTTGGGCTCTGTCTGGACAGGGGGACAGGGACAGTTCAATGTACCAGGACGGTAATTAACAGGTGCTAATGCCATCTTCATTAGCCAACACTCTCCACAGTTCACAAGAGTTTAACAAAACATTTTTAAACAGGCATTTTACAGAGGCAAAGGACTCATGCAAAATTCTCTCCTATAAGCGTTAAACACCTACATTAGACATGTACATCAGAGATACACACAGAGCTGACACCTTACATCACTGCCTGAAGATCTAGTGACAATGTAAATAATCAGCTGATTCCCACAGCAGAGCATAGGTGTCATCAAACCTCAAACCAAATGCCTGCTGGGCGATCTTTAGGGTTGAGCCATCATATATTATTTATTTTAAAAATATCCTGGACAGAAGCCTCAGTGCAAACCCCCTTGGCTGTGCCCAGGTTGCTCGCTGGCCCATGAAGTTTGCTGCTGTCCCCGGCCACCCTGCGTGGCTGGGACACTGCCTCTGCCCTCGTGTCCCCCCCCAGCAGCAGGACCACAAGTTCCGCTCACATCTCGCCTCGTGTTTGCCCAAACTCCAGGGGAGCATGGCAACACTTCAGATCCTGACACCGAGGTTATTAAAACAGGCTTCAAATAATATTTTTGTGATAAACAATCAAGTTAAGGAAAACACCCTCCAGGAAGTTCTGGCTGTAACTTCACGCTACGGCTATCTCCATCCTGAGCTCCAGGGGATCTGGCAGCTCCCCTCCAGGGGTACGGAACGGCGCAGATGAGGAGAGCAGCACCCCACACCTACCCCGGCAAGCCCCCTCCCTCCGAGCCGCTCAGCCGAGAGGGCTGCGGACCCTCCGGGACACGCAGGGAGTGCTCGGGCAGGGTTTTCCCACGCGGACCCGCAGCATCCCAGCTCAGCCCTACAAACCCTGCGGGAGAAGGCAAACCCGGGGGTGGGGGGGGCTGCCGCTGCCCACCCCCGGCTCGGCAGGAAAGCAGGGGGGCTGCAGAGAGCTAAGGCCCCCCGCGGGAGGTGCGATGAGTTTGCCAGGTGCCTTACGTCCTCTTGAAGACCCCTCCGAGGCAGCTGCCGAGCACTGCTGGGAGAAGAAGACCCAGGTGATCTGGGAGAGGGAGCTCTGGGTCTGGCAGCGCAGGTCCAGCAGCGTGGGCCCCAGGAAAGCGATGCAAAGGCCGAAACTGAAGAAAACGCTC